GAGAGAGAGAGAGAGAGAGAGAGAGAGAGAGAGAGAGACAGGCCACACTAAGGGCTTGCCAGACCCCACTCCACCAGCCCACCAGACCCCCCCAACACCTGAACCTGCTCCACAGGTTTTGGGCAGACTGCTGGCAGACACCTTAAATCCCAGTCCCTTAGCCTTAGAGTGGGAGTGGGCATTCCCCCACCTGTAGCACATACCGTTTCCTGCATCGCCGCAGCCGGCTGACATCAGGGGGCCCAGGTGGGTAACTGTGCCCCTTGGTCTTGCTTGTCCGGCGCAACTTGGAAAAAGACTCGAATATGGTGGGGACTGCCCCTTCCTTCAGCCTGTGATATCCACTGTGGGAAATGCAGCCCCGATGAGCTGGAGAACCAGTGCTACCTCCCCAGGCCAGCCTACCCCAGCTGGAGCCAGCACGTCCTCCAGCACCCCAGAGGGCTTCCCCAGGACTAGCCTGCGGGGGGCTTGAAGAGCAGTAAGTGGCAAATTAGGCAGTCACACCAACCTACTCCCTGCAGGACTCCTCAAAGTTGAGGTGCATGGAAAGCTTCCACAAACAGAGCTGGGTTGACTGGCCAAAAAGAATCCTTTTATTTCTGGACTTGCTAGGAGGACTGGGGTTCTGAAGAACACCTTCCGGAAAGACTCATGTTTTTTGTTTTTGTCATTGGCACAGTGACCTCGGGAGTGGGTTTTACTGGCTAGATATGGGAAGAGAAAACCCCTGGAACCAGGTCTGCCTGCCTGGCAGGCTGCACTCATGCCACCTGCTAAAGAGACTTCTGCATCAAGACCCATAGCTGCCCCCATCTGCCCAAAGCCCCACACCGCGCCCCAGTGATGGCTGGCAGGGAGGCCCACCTGATTCCCACCAGCTCAAAGCAGTTCTCCTCGAAGTGTTTGGAGCAGAAGTAGATGTACTCCGACGCCGGGTCCCACAGGCCCTGGCCGCTGGGGTCCAGCCTCCGGCAGTTGGCCAGCCACAAGCCCCGTCTTGGGTTGTCCTTCTTGGGAAGTCTACAGGACCACAAACCCGTGAGCAGCAGGCTGTCCGCAGCCCTCGGCTTATGCTGCCCAAGCTCCCCAGACAGGACCGGCGGACCCAGCACATGCAGCCGCGAGACCCCGCGGTGACCCCGTCGGGTAAGCACCACACGCCCGGGCAAACACAAGGAAACCGAGGCCTCGAGAAGAAAAGCAACGTGCACAGCGTCACCTAACCTAGTAGGTTGAGTCACGGAGTAGCAGGTCGAAGCCCGTCCTCCCTTTCCCGACTGGAGTTGGTCCGTCGAGGACCGCCTCTTTCACCCCTTCCCACCCTAAACGTCAAGCCTCGTCCGGACCGGAGCACTGCCCGGAGCGCATGCGCAGGGGAGCCCCCCCCCCCGCCCCGCCCCGTACCAGCACGCACGCGCGCCGACCTGTGGAAGGAGATGCCGCGGTTGCGCGTCTCGCGTGTGTCCCGTGTGCAGCAGCCGGCGGCGGAGCAGTGACGCGGCATCTGGGGAAGAGGCGGGAGCTAAGTGATGGCGGCTGTCCGGGCCCGGAGGAGCCTCACGCCTCCAGCCGCCGCTCCGCCCCAGGGGGCCCTGTCCCCCAGGGCCGGATCTCGCCCCAACCCTGTCCCCGCCAGTTCTCTTGACTCCCGTCAGCGGCACTCACGGTCTCGCCATTGCTGCGTCGCCGAAGTCTCGCGAGGTGTGGCGGGCGGCGGAAGTTGGAACCATAGAGACTCTGGGGCGGGCGGCGCTCGGGCCGAGGGGCGGGGCAGGAAACGGTCCTGGCAGGCGGGCTCCGGAAGCGCGGGGGTGGCGTCGCGGCCACGTCTGCCAAGCTTCCTGGGTTGCCAGCGCTGTCGCCCGCGTGGGTTTCCCGTTGTCTATTCAAAGCTCACTCTTTTCTAACCACCCCGTCACAGATAGGGTGGCCCCAGCGAGCGGATGCGCGGCGGCGGGAAGCGGCTGTACCCCGGGAGCTTCGCCAGCCGCGGAGCGACAGCCCGCCCAGGAAGACCCCTCACAGAAGAGACCGCACCAAGAACACGGGGGCCGGGACGCTCACACTAGAGAACCGACAAAACCCCGTGCCCAAAACTAACTCCCGGGTACCAGGGACGAGGATTTGAGGGCGGGCTGGTGGTGGCCCCTGTTTACACTTGGGGGACGTGCGATGGGCAAGTTCCATTGAAGCCTCATGCGACAGGAACGTGACAGAGCTGGGGGAAAGCTAAAGAAACCCAAGGAAATGGAGTGTAGGGAACTGGGTTCGTGAAGCCTAGAACACAAGCCACTTCCCACAGGGCTGAGGATGAAAACAGCCGCTCTGCTTAAGGTTAGAATTTAAAATGATCAGAGCCGTTTTCTCCTGATTCCGTCAGCCAGGGGTTTTGACGCCTTCCCTCTGGGAGCTTTGCAGTAACTAAAACATACTGACGTGCTTATGACAGGAAACGACTGGACGTTTTCTCCCCTAGAAATCCACTTGGAAAAGGCAGGTTATCTGGAGGAGGAATTCTGTCAAAATACAGCACAGGGGACAGATGATATCTCAGTACAGAAATTTTAATAGGTAAATATATCTTGTAACGTTGGGTGGGGAAGGAATACAAAGGGGTGGTTGCCTGCCGCGTCCTCCCCTCAGTATTCTTCCCCTTCCTCAGCCTCGGCTTCCACGGAATCCACGCCCACCTCTTCGTAATCCTTCTCCAGAGCGGCCAGGTCCTCGCGGGCCTCCGAGAACTCCCCCTCCTCCATGCCTTCTCCCACGTACCAGTGCACAAAGGCCCGCTTGGCATACATGAGATCGAACTTGTGGTCCAGGCGGGCCCAGGCCTCGGCGATGGCGGTGGTGTTGCTCAGCATGCACACGGCCCTCTGCACCTTGGCCAGGTCTCCCCCCGGGACCACAGTCGGGGGCTGGTAGTTAATGCCCACCTGCCAGAAAAGGGAACATAAAGTTAAGTTTATATTGGCCTCAGAAATGGTAGCTCATTAAAAATTGGAGCTGTTGGCCGGGCGCGGTGGCTCACGCCTGTAATCCTAGCTCTCTGGGAGGCCAAGGCGGGCAGATTGTTTGAGCTCAGGAGTTCGAAACCAGCCTGAGCAAGAGCGACACCCTGTCTCTGCTAAAAATAGAAAGAAATTAATTGGACAACTAAAAATATATAGAAAAACAACTAGCCGGGCATCGTGGTGCATGCCTATAGTCCCAGCTACTCGGGAGGCTGAGGCAGGAGGATCGCTTGAGCCCAGGAGTTTGAGGTTGCTGTAGAGAGCTAGGATTACTGGCGTGAGCCACCGCGCCCGGCCAAAACCATTATTTCTAACACACAAAAATGATAGCATAGAACCTGGAAAATCTCTAAAGTGAGTAATGGAGACCAGGACCTGCACTGAAGCCATCTCTGTCTTTTTTTTTGGTATGAGGTCTTGCTGTGTTGCCCAGGCTGGTCTCAAGTGATCCTCCTTCCTCAGCCTATAGCTGGGATGACAGGCACAAGCCACTGCACCCAGCTCCAGACCATCTTTAAATTCTCTCCCCATCATTCACTGCTCAGTAGGTTTTGGACACTTAAAGCTGGCTCAGCCTTAGTCTTCTGAAGTGTAAGAGACTGGTAATACTACCCAATGAACTTGAAAGGAGTGTTGGTAAGAAATAAGGGTACATAAGGTATTTGGTAAAGTATAAGGCACTTAACAGATTAACTACTAAACTTGTTCTCCTTGCAGCCTAGGTGACTTAAACAGGGGCAGTCTCCCCAAAGGGCATAGGCCCACAGGGGCAGCATCGTTCTGCACGTCTGCTGCTGGCTGACAGGTACTAGGATTCGACAACACCCACTCCTACCTTAAATCCAGTCGGACACCAGTCCACAAACTGGATGGTGCGCTTGGTCTTGATGGTGGCGATGGCCGC